ATTTTGTTGATGGTGACCGTACACAACGCATATTTCTTCATTTACTTGTCAGAAATATTTTGTAATAAATGTTTATCAACGATTTCAAGGAATATAATAAATATTATTGAGAACGTTTTTACTTTTTTTTTTAATTTTTTGTTATTAGGCCACGGAATCAGAACAGAGTGAACCATTAACTGACCACTGCTGAAGAAAAAAAAAACATTTCGTTTGATTGGCTAGCGTGTTCAATTTATATGTATACGGTTTATGGCCTATGACAGATTTTCATGATCAATTTCCTCTCAGTCAAAAACCCGCAAAATACTTTACTGAGCCCTATCATGAAATGCTATGTTTGTCAGCTGCGGCGTCGGTAGCGGATTGAGTAGTAACAGTCATCAAAACACGAAAATAACAATTTTCTGTCTACTTCTCCCGCCTTACCTACTTCCGATTAGTGACTAATCTAACTACAGTTAATACTTTAATCTACATCTAGCTTAAGATTCTGTACAAAGACATCGTCATTCAGTCACAAAGTGATGCATTTCGAATGATCACATTATATAAAAAAAATATGCGATCATCTGACGTATATTCAATCACTTAAAAAGTCGACGGTTTGCTTTCTTCAAAAGATTATGTTAACTATAAAGTAGATGAGTCTCCCACCAGGAGTCAACGGCAAAAAAATACTTTATTAGATGTTTGGACGGCTAAAACTACTCAACCCACCACTGGTACCACAGCTGACACTCATGAAGCTTCATGACACAACTCCTAGAAGCATCCCACAAGTTATCGACTAAGAGAAAATAGGTCATAAAAATTAGCGACTGGCAATATGGATATATTGTGGTGTGATTTGGTGTTTCTCTGCCCAGTGTACAGTGGCGCGCAATTTGAAGGAATTGTGACAAAAATATGAATAATTTGAATAAAAAAACGAAAGTAAAATGTTTGATTCCAACTCCTTTTAACACTCTTAACTCAGTCCAGACTGAGATTTCCATATATGAGCCCATAGACAATTTCGTTTGTAATGTCATTCTAGATAATATTTTCCATAAATCATCAACTGCCGCCAGAAAAAAGAAAGGCACCAATTTTAGTCAATGCCCTTTGGTCATTGTCATTTACACATATCCCTTGCAGCATAGTCAGTGCACTGGTATGGGAACAACCACTCCTGGTAATGAGCTTTAAAGTTCCCTACTAAAACAAACTGGGCCGGTCTTGCCGAGCCACATTTGCCGCCTCACCAAGGTGCGCATCACCAATTGCGCTAATCTGGTTGATTCCAAATCTTTTGATACTTGGTTAACAGACAAAAATCGCTGGTAGTGTTTGGACCCTACCTAGAAAATGGGTCCCCTAACTTGCCCCTAAGTAGAATTAGCCCAGGGCCCCACAAAGTCACAATCCACCCCTGTGTATCAAGCTGTATTGAAGGCATAACATGTAAAAGAGAATGCCCAAGAACACCTAGTCAATCAAAATCATTCATGGACTATTGAATACACCATAAGTAAAAGGTTCCAAATGCACTATTCATTTTGAAAAAAAAAAACCAAATTGAATGAACCACGAGCCTGCAGATTATCACAATATATGTATGGGCATGTCATTTTTTGAAAATAATTGTGATGGTTTCATTGAAAACACTTATTGAATCTGGCTCATACTATGTATGCTCTACCTTGCTACATATAAATTATTTTGATTGATTGTAGGTGCTCTATACATTTCTGGGCATTGTCCTTTACACAAAATATATATTATGATTCTTTTACTTACCAACTTCAGTGGGATTGAGTAATACTACAGTACATGTGGTAGTGGCCAGCACTATTCCCTCGGGTGTGTAGTCTCCCAGTTTCTCACACTCCTGGCCGGCCAGTTCACATGATACGTCTACATACACTCCCTCTTGGCCTACTGAGGGCCAGTAACGGACTGTACCCTCAGGAGAAACTCCAATGCAAGATGGCATCTGTAAAGGTACAAGTGATACAATATTATTAATTTTAATGCTGATAGCTTGTCAAATTCTTTTTGTAGAGAATGGAGAACTTTTCTGAATAGGTTACATTAATTTCTCAAACATTGAATATTCAATTTTAAGCATCTTTTAATCATGAACTTTAATTATTAGGCTACTCAACTATTAATTTATTACATGAGTGATATAGAAACTCAACTAATTAATTATGATTAATTGGTGACTGGTGGTAACTGGTAAAAAAATGATTTCGCCCATATCATCTAACCTGAGCTCCTGCAGTGTAAAAGAGCACAACCAAATCCGCCTTATGTGCCAGATCAGTTTGTGGCAATGACAGTTCTCGAGCCACTGTGCTGGTGGAGGCGGCGCTGGTCGAGGACGCGGCGCGCGGCCACGCTATGACGCGCCGCCCCGACACCACCCAGCACCAGCCACACGCAGACAGACGGACACTGACTTCACCACTGGCTACAAAATAAATATACTTAAATCATCTAATTATCACCTAACGTCTTTCCATTACATTATGTAAAGGTTATCAATACACCAACTACATTACATCTTCTGATAATAATTCATTAAGACTCTGGCTTTAAACAGGTAGGTACTTACCAAACGTCAAGGCTTCTGTGACCATCACGGGGAGGGGCATTCCGTATGTTTCTATGGTGGTAACTGGAGTCTTATACACTACATCACCAGTTGGCTCACCCGAAGACTGCATTGATTTACTGTAAGAAACATATTACATGTAATTCTTTGATATACATCATTTTTATATCTTTAAAAATGATAGGTTATGTTTAAACCTCTGGTTCTTTTTCGCTGAGGAAAGCGAAATAGGCCTTCGTCCCGTGATGGACTGCCTCACTCGAGGAGAAAATGGACTCCTCATTGCACCTGTAGTACTATAATCCATTATATCTATAATAAAATTTCGAAATAATAAAGAAAAAGCGCAAAATAACCGAAACAAATATCAAAGACGATTTCAATTCAATTCAAATAGTCAAAATAATGTCAAACTGAAAGATCGATCAATAAAACGTTTCGATATACGTCAATACCAAATGATGTAGTAATTAATTCAAGGCAAGAATTTTCTTATTAATTATTTTTAATAAGTGATTTTTATTTTTGTGATTAGCTGAGAATGGTTGGCGATAATGGCAATAGTGATATCGATTTATAAAGTAAAAGATTCTAGGTATACATCATGAAACTCAAAAACAGCATAGTAATGAAACGGTGCGCGTCGCTCCGTTCCGTCCAAAGAAGCTAAAGTCAAACGTCAAAGTCAAGTCAAATGATTGACATTAGACTACGAACAACGAAATTCAACGAATGTCAACTAAATTGGAATTTTCAACGGTTACCGATTCCCTGTTTTGGGTTCTGAAGTTGGTTTTAAATTAATAGAACTGATTGATCATCCATTAGCCCTTTGTTAAACTGATCTACATACATCAAGATGCATATCAAATCAATAGTGTTAGATGGTTTTAAGTCGTACGGAAATCGTGTAGAAGTTAATGGTTTTGATCCTGAATTCAACGCTATCACTGGGTTGAACGGCACAGGAAAGTCAAATATACTGGATGCGATATGTTTTGTCCTAGGAATAACAAATTTGGCGAACGTAAGTGGTCTTTGTTCAAGTACCTATTTGTTATGAGTGTAATAGGTTAATTATTTTCCCGCCAAAACATACTAATTTTATTCGTTTATTATGTACCAGTTACTCGCGCGTAGTTACCCTCTCTGCTCGTCACCTTCCACTGCCTTCCTCAATAAATGGGCTACCCAACACAAAAGTATTTTTTCAATTAGATCCAGATTTACCAGAGTCGAACCAGAGTTTCACAGATTAGCTAGCTCAAATAAACAAAGTCTTCAGCTTCATTAGTAATAGTAGTATAGAATGTAATTCTTATAAGAACTTAGATAATAGCTTCATTAGTTAGTTGGTTGCATATGTACTTAACTGGTGAAGAAGATGCCTCAGGTTTGATCTCTGGGAATTGTAAAATAGGTACTGTATTTAAATTTTTTAAATTCAATTACATCTTGGATCAGATCAGATGAGCTATCTAATGTACTACTTATTTGATCACACACCTTGAGTCTTCTTCAGAATACTCACTGACCCTTCACTTGGAGAGTGCTGCAATATAACTGACGAAATAATGTTGTATTTGAATTTATAGTCGTCCCAGGTCACTTCAGTGTAGTACTGACTTTTTTTGGTGTATATAATGGTAGCACTGGTGGTAATATTTACATACAATTACATTATAAGAACAATTATGACATTTTGGTACTGTTTAAGGTGCGTGCAAGCAGTTTGCAAGAATTGATATACAAACATGGCCAAGCAGGCATTACCAAGGCTACTGTGAGCATCACATTTGACAATAGGAACAAGGACCAGTCTCCCATTGGCTTGGAAAACAATGATGAGTTCACCGTTACTAGACAGGTACTCCAGTCATCACATTGTATACTTACTACTCACAATGTATGATATATCATAATATATGGATACCATAGTATGCACATCTGTTTTAACTTTAAGTCACAACTGATTTTATTTTATTTTCCTTAATGATTATTGTAAGTAATTGTAATTTATGTTCATTATGAAATGGTATGCTTTTGTTCTGTGAAATATTAAAATAATATTAATTGTTGTGAAATTAATAAAAAAAAAGGAAAATAATAATAAAAAATCTAATATGTGTATTTATTATTCAGATTGTAATGGGAGGCAAGAACAAATACTTAGTGAATGGCCTAAATGTTCAGAACAAGCGAGTGATAGATTTGTTCTGCTCAGTGCAGCTCAATGTAAACAACCCTCACTTCCTCATCATGCAGGGCAGGATCACGAAAGTGTTAAACATGAAACCTCCTGAGGTCAGTTCTCTAATCTAAAAAGTCTCATCAAGTATGTTTTTTCAATTTCATGAGAAATATGTTTAAGAGTAATCTCAAATTAATTGAAAATCACATTGAAAAGATGCAGCGACTGTGCACGCTGCTCATAAATAAGAGTCCCATTGTGACTTAAAACTAGTTTTCTCAGTAATTTCACGTGAGTAAACTGTGATTTTTAATTAATACTACTCTGTCAAGAAAGTACCGGATAAAGATCAATAATACACAAAATGTTTGTTATTCATCCAAATTTATTTCCATCCTTTAGAAACGATACACTTGCGCCAACAAACAATCCATTCATCAAAACATTTTTAAACGCTGCTTCCGGAATTGAGTTCAGTTCTCGCCGCGAATTCTCCTTTATGTCTTCTATCGATTGAAAACGGGTGACACGAAGTGGTAATTTGAGTTTAGGAAAAACAAAAAAGTCAACATGACTTTGACTTTTGATCAACTTTTGCGTGGTTTTTTCGGTTTCGGTTCAGTTGGCAGGCGCCACTCCGAAGCTTGTTGACTAGTTTGCATGTGAAACTCGTAAACCCACGTCTCGTCACCAGTAACAATGCGATTCATGAATGTTGGGTCCGAACTGACTCGTTCTAGTGTAGTGTGTGTGACACCTCGCGCTATAAGTAAGTAGTGTAAGTTAGATTTGAAGTCACTCAATTAAAGATATCCATGGCGACCCTGCCAGTGCAATGTGGAGCAATGAGGGAGACGTGTTACTGTTAGGAATATCTTTAATTGAGTGACTTCATATCTAACTTACACTACTTATAGGGCGAGGTGTCTCACACACTACACTAGCATGTCCTCAGCGACTTTCATGCGATTGAGTTTTTGGAGAAAATTCAGATCTTTTGGGATCTAGCCGAGCAGCAACTGTTCATACACAAATGATTAGTTAAAATGGTACGGATCTACTCGTGAGATACAGAAAGTTCGGCGGCTATCTATCTCAGAGTTAAATGGGGATTTTCAGTCACTATTTCCTACACTTTCGCGATGTTAACTTCAGTTGCAGACGTTGACGGCCTACCAGAGCGAGGCAAATCGTCCATTCGTTGAAAAGCGTGACACGAAGTGGTAATGATGCGTTCAAAAGCGGTCGATATTTCGACCGCTTTTGAACGCTTTGAACCACTCAACCACTCATAAGAACGAGAGATAAAGTTGATTCACCGTAAGCCTTCTGTAACATTTTTAGTGACTCCGAACAATGCAAAATTGAAGACAAACTCTTTTTTCGATATTTTTGTCCATTATGAAATTCGCAATACATACTATATATGATATTACTAAAATCAGCACTGTATTTAATATAATAACCGATGCAACTCGAACTCCGCGCCAAAATGGACAACAGTTGTGCCAATCTAACAACTACAAAAAAATTAAAATTTGAATTTGAACCATAAACAAATCATCCATTCCCGATACTTTTTTGACTGAATGTACCTCAATGAGGTATAGTATGCATCACAATAGTTACTAAGTATACAAAGGGCAATCTCATATAATATACATAGAACATCAGGCAGGCAGCATTGATTGCTTACATCTCGTGGTCCATCTGCTTGTTTGCTTCCTCATCCCATAAAAGTATCTGACTGGCTGAGGCAGCCCAATATAAGAAGGCGGCAGTCTCACTTACTACCTCTGGCGAATGGTGGCCGTAAATAAGTCGGTCATGGTCTTGGTGGTGTTGTTTGGTGTTTGTTTTAAAAATAATACCCAATTTAATTGTTGATGTTTGCAGATCCTGTCTATGGTAGAGGAGGCAGCTGGTACTCGAATGTATGAGACTAAAAAGCAAGCGGCAGAGAAGACCATTGAGAGGAAGGATGCCAAACTTAGGGAACTTAATGAGGTACTTACTATCCTTTTGCTAGATGTTGACATTTGTCTGATGCTGAAACTTACACATGTAAACATTCATGTTTCAGATCATACGAGAGTCTATAGCGCCGAAACTACAAAAATTACAAGATGAAAGAGCTCAGTTTCAAGAATATCAAAAGGTTGTAAGGGAACTTGAAAATCTAAATAGACTGCACATAGCTTACAAGTAAGATTATCACTATTTTAATTATTTGAAATAATGGAATGTGTGAGTAAAATCATACTTTACTGAACTTACAATCAAAATCTGTGGTAGTCAGATAACTCCTCGAGGCGCGCGCGGAACTCTCGGCGCCGTACGCGCGGGTTTGATTCTGGTCGGGCGGCGAGCTAACCATTCTCGCCGTCCGCAGGCTCGTGCTTACGGGGTGTCCCTGATCTCCGACGACCTGTGTGTCTCTTGTGCCGGCTGGGGCGTTAGGAGGTCCGTCCCCTCACGCGGCCCGCCTCCTCCTTAGCTGACATGACGGCTCCCTCAGTACCATGACCTGCACCAGAGCCGCGCGACGTGGCCGCCCGCGCCACGCCGCCACCGTGTGTCTGGGTACTCCTCGCAGGGAATAGCCGTCTCCCTTAAACTTCCATGTTATAATCATACTTAATTAAAAATATATATTTGCAGTTACGTAACTGCAGAAGAGCGAACTAAAGAGGCTGAAACTAAACTCACACAAGTGGAAGATGAAATAAAAAGTAAAAAACACCAGATACAACAAAATGAAACAAGTATCAAGGAATTTGAAGAACAGATATCTGAACTGAATAAGAAGGTGGATGAGGTATGTTCTTGTTTGTTTTTGTGGGCCTGTAAAGAATCCAACTGTACGAAGCATATTCGTCGCAGGTTGTTTGTTGTTTTATGGTCCTACCTGTTTTGCAATCAAATAACGGCTCTCGGCCGACCAAATCCTTTGCTTGGTGTAAAGGGTTGAAATGGAAGGGGAGCAGATACCTTGCGCCTGTATGGATAGCGGTGTGACCGTGGCGCGAGACATACACGGACGTGTTGCAGGAGAGCGGCGCCGCGCTGCGGGCGCTGGAGGCGGAGCTGGGCGCGGCGGGCGCGGCCGAGGGGCGCGCCGC